AGGCATAAGCTTGAGACAAATGAGGTTAAGTTTCAGAAGTTGCTCTCTAGTTTCAGAAAAGCATGAATCAGTTGACAGAGATAGTATTTTAGTATGTCAAGTTAGTTATAAAACCAACCACACAAACACTTTGCTAGAAGGAAGAAAGCCAGAACACAAGGCAGAAGGGAAGGAGGACAGTGTGACATGCCATTACAGCAAGGGTTATGTTTGACTAAAATGTGTCAAATGTTTCAGTCAGACCATCAGGCTTAAGCAATAAACTAAATTAAGTTCAAAATTCAGAGGCACAAATTTCTCCATTTCATACTTCGATAGTTTCTGGTAAAGAAACCGTCCTTCCAGAATAAGTGATCTTCTTTCAGGAGTAAGAAAAGTTAAGATGGGGCACAAAACCAAACTGTGACACTGTTCAGTAACCAAAGCTGCAGGAACATTGTAAAGTTTTCTGGCAGTATGATACAGGGGTAGGAAAGCTTACCTTATTATCACCTGTTAGCTGCTTCTCCCACCTCCTTCCCAGAAGGAACAGCAGCTTATGTAAAACCTACTTCCCCCACCTCTTTCCTGGCCTCTACCCAAACACACTCCTCCCTTCTTTCCCCCCACCCCAGCCCCGTGACAGTTTAAATGCTCTTTGGACCATACACAGAACTGATCAAGTCCTTTTTTGGAGGAGAATAAAAAAAATAGAAGGGAAAAGCAGAAGTGGTTCTTCAAGTCTAACTATATTCCAATTCACTGAGTAGACCTAAAAGCAGTTGTACTTAAACAGCTGACGGGGAAATAAATATTCATTCTAGTTGCACTGCTAAGAATTTTCGAACTGAAGTATGCCCTTGAGTGAAGAAAGCTTACAAGTTACTGCTCAGTGATTTGAGTCTTGAAGGATCCTAGTGCAAGTGAATAGCTTCAAACTAAAGCTGAGCTTTAGCACTGAAGCATTAGAACAAATGAGGCAGAGTAAATGCAAGAAAGAAAATCCAGAAAGCACTGAAGCTTCATTATTTTAATACACAGAAACCACAGTTATACTACAAACATTGAGTGTTTTTTTAGAAACATTCAGTTTATATTGTCCTCACTGTCTTGAGAATAATTGAATTCACCTTGCAAGAGAATTAATTATCACTTCATTTTTATTAAATCTTCCAGATTAAAGTACTTATTTTGAACTTCCTACGAAAATTCAGTTTGTCTGAAAAGGTACACAAACAGCTACATGTTGTGCAAGCCAAAGGTCACATTAGCTTTTAGTTAATTTACAGTTTACAGATCCAATTTTGATTTCTTGATACCAAGTCTCCAGGACTAAAGGCTACCTTATGCCCAGAATCCCTCTGCTACAGTATGGTTCAGTATAGCAAACAAGTCCATGCATTCAGAAGGCTCAACCTAGAATGGAGGTGACTGAGAAAACAAGTACCTTCAATTAAAAATAGTATCACCACTACAGTGTACAATGCTGTAACATGCTTAATCTGCAGAAAAAAAAAGTGCTTCTGTATTGTACAAGTCTCATACAGGAAGGTCTTAAAGTGAAGCTTAGCCAATCTGCTGATTCCTCAACAGCACTGCCAAGGAACAGCGGTGAACCAGCCAGACTTAAGCAGGGCATTTTAGCCTTCCTATTAAGCTAGCTTGCAAAACTTGAGTCTTGGCACTCTACAGACACATGATTGAATCCACCACCAATTTAAATGCATCTTTAAACTAGATACTTTGCTATCATCTATGTTACCTGAAGAGTCCTGCTTCAGCTGTCTTAGGAGTCATAATTCTGCTGCTGTTTGCTTAGTGATGAACTGCACTAACATACAGAGTGAATTAACCAGGTCATGCTGAAGCTGTGTTTATAGAGAGGTGTTTTAAACCAAGTGAACCTCATGTCATGACTAATCTTAATCAAGTTTAGACAGTACTTACAATAGAATTAATTAAAATACCAGCACAGACTATAACCCAGTGAAGCCATGCACTCCTCACATGTATTTGTAGGATAAGCTGTTCACATTCACAAGACATTCACCAAGAAAAAGTACAATTGTTAAATATCCAGTTGGCACCATTTAGCTATTTTAAGGGATCACCACATGTACTCAAACTAAATTAGAATGTAATCACGATTCCAAAGAACATAGATAAATCTCTTAATATAGAGGACTTGAAAACCTAACCTGTGGACAAGTTTCATATCTGCAGAGCACAGATGGGTACTGTGCAGAAGTGCAGCAGCCTGTATGCTCAGACTGGTTTTGGACTACTAAGCACTCTGCTGCAGCTCTGTCAATGCAAAGAATTACTTAAACCGAGAAACAGAAGCTGGTTTAAAATCAGTGCTGCAGCAGCTATTCATTGTCAAATTCATAAGCTGTTAGAATTACTAATTTAATAATATCTGTTATTCAAAGACTCCCTAAGTGACCACGCAGTAACTTTCTGTAAAGCAGCAAGTGTTTTTCCAATGCAAATCTTGCTGATAAGCATTTGATAAACTCCGGAGAGATCCAGATAGTCCACCCACAAACATTAGCATTTCAAAATCTGTCACTAAGAAGATCTGTTCCAATAGCACTGAAGTACACTCTGCTACAGAGTTTCAGGTTTTTTCTTCCAACAGGTGAACCAGTGAAGGTAATTAAGGTCTTGAATCAAGACTTTAAAAGTAATCAGTAGTTTGAATCTGTTCTCAGACTACACTAAGCAGGGAAAAGTTTCATTCCACCTGAAAGTAATTTCTCTCATCTGTAATGTTGCTGTATGTCCATAGATACTTTTAAGCTTGATCACAGGAGTCAAATGGGACAGGTTTTCATACGGGAGTCTTGAAATTAGCATAGTTATTACTGTTGCATCCATTTAAGCCACATGGAGATACAGTTTGAGAATTTAAGATAGTTGAAGTGCAAATCAAGGTAGTATTTAAAATGAAAGCCATTTTAAAGGCAATTAAAAAGATATTCTAACCAACCCCCTGAAGCTGGAAAGTTTAAGCACCCAGCAACAGCTACTGATACAATTAAGATATTAAAACACCCCTATTTACTGTGAAGGATACAGTAAAACCTGAAAGTAATGTCATTGCAAAAAACCACCCAGATTACTGAATAGAAAAAGCAGTGTTGGTATCTGCAATCTATACACCTCTTAGTACAGGCTTAGCTATTGTTTTGAACCATGGCTGTGTTCTCCCAAGTTCAGAAGATCACCTGAAAGTCTGCAGGAAGATCAGTGCAGATCTTTCACATTTAGCAGTGTCTGAAGTGTGATCCACCAGCTACCAGCAGGCACAAGAGAGCCTTCAGCAGAAACAGGAATAAACAGCACAGTAACAGCAGTCCCAACATCATCTTTTTTCATCTGCTTGGAAAAAAATTTTTGCCTCACCTATTTTAAGCCACCCCTGCTCTGGGTGAGACAATAATCAGATCTAGGTGTCATGCAACTTTTATGCCTTTAAATAGTTCTTACCTGAGAGTGAAAATTTGAAATTGTTGTTGTTTCAATGTCCTTCTTGCCCAAAATTTCCATTTTCACTGGAGTGTTAGGAAAGTTAAAAGCAAAATAATCCAGGAAGTCTGGTAAATAAGCAGCTGCTCCATGTACTATGGCTAAAGCATAGTAAGCTGCATTTTTATCATTTTCACTGAATGACAACGCAAGAAACTCTTCTGCAAATCTCTCCATCTCCACTGGAGACAAAAATGAGAGTTCATCCATGTAAGCATGAAGGACCAGAGCACCACCATTGGACTGATGTTCTTCATGAATGAAGTTACTGAATTTAGTGCCAGTTTTCAAGAAGCTGCTGCGAACAGAATGCTCCTGGTGTGTCACAAATGGTGTTTGTACTCCCTGGGGTATTCGATATTCCTGCATACCCAAATTCAGTCTGCAGAGCTGCTCATCCTTCAGGTACCTGAAGGATTCCTTGTTCACTTCCAAGTTATCACACTGGCCTTGAGAAAGAGTCTCCTTGTCAATGCGAGTGAGTCCAGCACAGACTGTCTGCACTTCTTTGTTGTACATCTTCAGGCGTTTCCCCCTCATATCTTCCCGGTGTTTCTTTTTCTTTTTTTTCTTTATCTTCTTCATAAGAAGACTGTCAGCTCGCTGGGTTTTGCCATTTTCATCTGGAGTTTCTGGCAGCAACAATAAAGAGAAGATTAGAGTTCTGCAGTTGCAGCATGTTCACCCCTAAAGAATTAAACCCTCCCATTTGCTAAAGCTCTCTATTCCCAGGAAGTAATACCTTGACTTTTAACTTACAAGACTTTAATTATACAACGAAACCTGCTGTACCTCTGGTTATTACACAAAGAAAACCTTAAATTAAAGAAATCTTCCAAAACTCAAGCTTAATACTTTAGAGATATTTCATATTTTAACAGAAGTATTAGAATACCTTTAAAGGGAATCCATATTCCCAAACATCTATAATTAAGTACATTAATAACTCCTGACATTTAAGGCAGTGCCATGCAGGGGAAGAGGATAAACAAGTTAACAAGTAGCATTTAAACATTAATACTTTCATTACAGAACACTTCCCCGATTTTGGATACAAACTATAGAAGCAAAACCAAGTGCAAGGGAAGAGGTACAAATATTTAAAGCAGTCAGCTTTCTGGATTAAAAAACCAAAAAGTAATTAAAATAGTCTTAGATTCCTGATCTTTTGTATCTGAATCATCACATCCACATATTCTTTCAACAGTGAAAGCCATCTTTCACTAGTCTTAACTACTCAGTTAAATCAGAGCTAGAAATTAAAAGGAGGTTGTTTGGTTTAGACATTTGCTCGGTTGGTTGGTTTTTTTATGTTTAATCAACCTGTAAAAGGCTAAAGGCTGAGAGATAAAAAGTGAAGTAGTAGTTATGTTTGGCAAAATGTAATAGTTTAACTGCTCATGTTTTAGGAATAAAAACTAATTCAAATAATATTTAGCAAATGACAATGGTAGTGAGAAATCTCGATGGTCCAGCTGTTAAAAAAACTCAGTTGCCAAGACAAGTCTCTAATCTGCCTGAATCAAAGACCTATTTCATGCCACAATGCACACAAACCTCCAAGAGCCATATTACCATGAGAGCTGTGGGAATCCAAACAACGCGTTGCTGAAGGCAGCGTCAGACTGGAAGATGCAATGGCTAAAGTTTCAGTTTCCTGCAGCACAGGGCTCTGTGCTAAAAAAATTTCCTTTCTCTGTCTGCAAAGCTATCAAATTTGTATTTCCTCTTTATGCTCTTGCAGTACTTGAAGAAAAAAACAAACATGTTACACTGATCTATGAGAAAGGGTGTAAGGATCTGTACATGCAGCTTCAAGTTATTTAGTCTAGCCACAGTATTTAACTATATCATTACTAGGTTGGTTTCAGAGCTCTTTGCTAAACACAGATGACCTTCCTAACAGCCTGGTGTAGTGAACAGAATTACTCATGAAGCAAAGAAAGAGTCGATTGCTTAATACTAACTTCATACAATTGTCTCAGGACCTGAAATACAAGTTCACACACTACTGCTGTTAGCCTTTACAAACAGCAAATGCCCTTATTTTGATGTTACAGCTAGGGAAACCAGGAAAAGAAAGGTGGTAGCACTTGTTTTGGTAGGTCAACTGAAACAGTTCTTTGAATAAGCTTTTCTGGAAGTCTCAGAGGTTGAGGTTGCATAAGCTTACTCAATCACTAAGCTCTCAAGTATAGATACTGCTTTACTAAGTGTAACAAACATACTAATCACACAGAAGATCTTTGTTCTGCTGGAGCCAGATTCCAAGCTGAAACTAAACAAGAATTTCATGGCACCACCAAGCTGTTGGAAATACTTCCCTGTAGATATTTCTAGATTAGTTTTTGGTTGTTAAATGTGTCTGAAGTATTTCTAATTCTAGGCATAGTTTAAAAACCTCAGACATACACTAGTTTAAGTTCAGAGTACCTGCCTGTTTGAAGATATCCCCTAATAGCAGGCACACAACTAGCACTCTTTGCATTTTGGAACTTCCAGCGAAGACTGGTCTCTTTTCAGGATAAGAGATATCCTGACTGTGCTTTATCCACTGAACACAGCAGACTCCCACTACAGCAGTGAGACCAACCTCTGTATTAAGTGAAGCTAGACAGTGACATTATGGTAATGCCTGACAGTCTTGAAGGAAAGAGTTTTAATTATTCCTTTAAAGAAATGGAATGCCTCCAGTACCTCGAACACAAGGAAAGCTATAGCCAGGTCACCAAATCATGAGCATAGCAGCAGTGCCAATAACTCCACTTGTCTAGAACATTACATAACTGAACACACCAGTATCACTATTAACCAGCAAAACCACTGGAGATGATCATTGTCACTTGTGGCTGAAGGCAAGAATAGTGTAGTCAAAGAAATAGGCAATTAATTAGATTATACTTAGAAATAAAACCTGATGGCTAGGAAAAGAAACCCAGCCTCATCCCAAAACCCACTGCAACACCTGCAGTCGAGGACTAGTGCTAAGAGTCACAACTCCCAGTGCAGAGACACCTTTCCTTTGCTAATCTGGAATTCAGACAGTAGTGTTAACAGTGTTTAAGCCTTCATTAAATGAAGGCCTCATTTGATTACTTGTTTAGAACTGACATGCAGTGACACTCCCCAGTCTACAGTGATACAGTACTTCATTATCAAGCTAAAGTTTGGAGTTACAATCCAGTAGCTTTTAGAGTCATTATTCAAACACAGTTGTGAAGAAGCACTACACCGAGTGCAAAGTCTCTCCCCATATCAGCTTTGCCCCTTCTTAATACAGCACTATCTAGAGTATACACTACAAACCTAACTTCTGTAAGCAGTGCATCTTCGGCACAATACCTTCATATATACTCCTGAAGCATGATTCACATTAATATCTTTATTACAGCAACTTTCGTAATGGCTTTTTATTTATGTTGCTCTCACCAAGAGGCTTTTTGCTACCACAAAATAGGGGAACAGAATCAAAACAGTCATTCTGTACTGTGAAAAAAAAAGGAAAAAGATCCAGAGAAAACTTGGCCTTCATTAAAGCAATCTCAGGGTATTTAACTCAAGAAAAACACCACACAAACCACGGCACCTTCTCAGTTCTGGTGTAAGTTAACGCAGGCACCGCAGAAAGCGAGCTCTACCGTAGAAGTGCTCGCACCGTGAGCCGCGCAGAGGGCAGCCGGGGCGGCAGC